CCTCAGCACTGCTCGTCCGGTTGCCCCACCAGATTCGTCCAATGCCGCGCAGACAACGATGTTCGAACACCGACGATGTATTTGTATCATGTTCTCGTAGTGGCCAAGTCTCTGCATCGAACTGCTGCAGCCTGTACTCGACCCTTCACAGACAGCTGTATGTCGCGACGGTTCAACCCCTGTCTCAAGTTGGCAAATACCAACAGGCCCTTTTGTATGCGCGCCGTGTTTGTGATACGTCCGCTAGGTAAAGTATAGCTGCCCAAAATGTGTAGAATGTGTCTACTTCCTCTACTACTTCCCCATTCATGATGAAGTTGGGTAACCAACCTGCAGAACGCTCCCTCCTGATGCCACATATGACACAGCACACAAACCCCTAAAGCACAAGCTTGTCAAAAGTTTGAGGAATGACCGCAGAGAGACGGAGAAGGCTGCGGTTATCGGTAATAGTCGCAATCTTTTTCGTTTAATTAAGAGTACAGATCTAAGGAAAAATTAGGCGTAAGTTAACTGAGGAGTTTGAAGGCACACTGATACATATTCAGCAATGCCCTCTTGACCGTTGGGCAGAACATTTGAAGGCACAGTTCAGCTGGTCCCATTCGACACAGCGCCAGTCGGTGATAACGGAACCGGTAGCAAGTAGACTGTTGAACTTGTCATAACTACGTGCGCTAGATAAAACTGCTCCAGCTGCCCCGGGCCTCGAACTGACCTGGATGACAAATCTGATCGGGACACGATGGTGATGTCAACGTCAGCAGAGCGTCACACAGATAACCCCTGATCCCTTCCAATTTGTATCCTATATAAACTTCCGTTTTAATCATCTGATAAATTAATTTACGCGTCTCCCAACGCTTAGTGTTTCGATCCACATCGGACGCAACATATTTGTAAGAATATCCATGCAAGAATATCTATGCTTCTATTTGCCGAATACCATTAAAATTTAGGATTTCTGGATCTTGACGATGATTACTGGTGCAACAGTTGTAAAGTAAACTAACAAAACCGGAGTAGAAATACAATTGAAATTTATTTATCAAAATTACTCAGAGGCGTCATCAGTCAGATACTATGCTCCCGTGTTCGCAACGTCATATTTGTCCTTATTCAATTTTGAGCACTGAAGACGGTCACTTTTGCATGGAGTCCACCAAGTTAACTGCCAAACAGCATTTGCCGTGGCCAATAGTTACCCCGATCAATTTAGCTAAACGATTCCAGTGTTTCCACAGCACAGGTAAAACGTTTTCCATCAGATTAAAATCTCTACTACTGGGCGACAAAATGAATCTAATCCGATATTAGAACTGACCCATCCAGAAGCTGCATAAATTTGGGGGGGGGGGAAATACGTATAATGAGGTCTAAAATTTTTGTGTAACCAACCTCGGGCGACATAGTACACTATCCTTCTCCGAAAAATATGACTTCGGCGAACGTATTCGGAGAGTGACAAATATCGATAACCCACTTCAGTAGTGCAAACAAATTTCGCGCTACCCTGAGTGACAGGAAACCTACAACGGCAAGGCACATAGTATTTACTTCCCTCATCATCATTCGATGGAATGGATATTGACTTCTTTTGACCGATCAGACAAGATTCGTTGGAACCGTAGGTCAGTAGATCAGCTTTCTCCGTTGGCCGAATTGCTTGTTGGTCACTTGTGACATAAATCCAATCGACACTGAACAGGTGACTCAATTTGAATTTATTAATAAAATCAATACCTGCTTTGCTTTGTTGATCGGTCAATAACGGCTTCATATAAGGTGAACTGTAAACCGGCAAATCATTATTAGTTATTAGGATTAAATTGAAAAATTCAATTTTTACTGTCTGAAAATCATCAAAATGATATAATAATACTTGTATACGATGGGTTCTACTGATAGATGCTATTCAAATTGAATTAGGTGATTAGGTGGTCCTCTGTTTGTGACGGGGGGGGGCGGATAGGGATGCATGCAAACGCACGCATATGTTAGCCATTTTCTCACGGTTCATTTGATAGCTCTCCCGATTCACGTAAATTATCAAAATTCCGTTTATTTCTTTTTTTTGTTGCTCTTAGCTGATTGACATTGTGATTGTATGTCGAGATATTTTTGTTTCTGGTCCAATAGTCTAGTCTAACTAATTTATTTACAGATCCTGGTATGAAACCAATTAGTATGGTAAACACACACACATACATGTATGTTTTTTACGATCCATACACGCAATAGTTGAATTGTTCTAATATTTTGTCCGATACAATGCGGCGAAGTCCAAGTAATTGATTCACTCTCAGTTCCCGTAATTTCAAATCGATCTGGCAAAATGGTAGCTATTCTGATGACTATTCAAAACGAATGAGCTTGCTCTCCACTGCCAGTATGTTCATTTTGTTTCGTACCACATTGTGTCAACTGTTCCATAA